CTGGTTGTTGGTTTGTTAGATTGTTTTGAACATTTAATGATCCAGCTGCCAGCTTTCAGTAACTGAATTGCATCATTATTGGAGAAATGTGGTTGCACTTTATTAGAGAAAACATCACTGTTTATATTGTTGTCCTGTTCCTCCCTTGTAATTTTTCCTATTATTGTTTAGAATAACACCCAAGTCTCTCTTAGAAATAGCCTTTACAAATCTTCCTGTATTCAGAATCAACTTCAAAGGAAAAAATACCACAAACCTGTGGCAAAGCAGGGTGAATCTTTTCATTAAATATTAGGTATGTGGGTTGAGTGTATTCATTTTAAAGCATTCCTGTAATATTTTTTTCTTTCCTTTGACTCTTCAGATGCTCACATAATATGCAAATAATTTTACAATGGATACAAAAGAAACATTAAATATATTAAAATCTGCATTTTAATAAAGTTGTCAATGTATAATACATATCCTGCAACTGAGAAAGAATGATAAAAAAGCAATAAAAAGTTAATATAGGCACAGAACTATTTAATAACTTCTAATGTTTTACAATACGATAAAAATAAATGTGGTTTTGAAACTGTTGGATATCAGTGTAAGAAATGTTCTAGTCTGAGTTTAATGTTTTAGCTATTTAGGAGTAGCAGTCTTGCATTTCTCATATGCGTTTTCTGTCTCCTTTTGACTCTTGGGATTAAGCTTGTGGGCATGTTTCTTTCTCATTTCAGACGGAGTAGATGTTGAGGATGACCCCTCTTGCTCATGGCCAGCATCATCGCCTTCTAGCAAGGATCAGACTTCCCCGAGCCATGGAGAAGGCTGTGATTTTGGAGAAGAGGAAGGAGGCCCAGGTTTGCCCTATCCGTGCCAGTTCTGTGACAAATCGTTCAGCCGCCTCAGCTACTTAAAGCACCACGAGCAGAGTCACAGTGACAAGCTCCCTTTCAAATGCACGTATTGCAGCCGTCTCTTCAAACACAAGCGGAGCCGGGACCGCCACATAAAGCTTCATACGGGAGACAAGAAGTATCACTGCAGTGAGTGTGATGCGGCGTTCTCAAGGAGCGATCATCTCAAAATCCACTTAAAGACTCATACGTCCAACAAGCCATATAAGTGTGCCATTTGTAGGCGTGGGTTCCTGTCGTCTAGCTCACTGCATGGACACATGCAGGTTCACGAGAGGAACAAGGATGGCTCCCAGTCCGCTTCCCGGATGGAGGACTGGAAAATGAAAGACACTCAGAAATGCAGTCAGTGCGAAGAAGGCTTTGATTTTCCTGAAGATCTTCAGAAGCACATTGCAGAATGTCACCCTGAGTGTTCCCCTAATGAAGACCGATCTGCTCTTCAGTGTGTTTACTGTCATGAACTCTTTGTAGAGGAAACGTCCCTAGTAAATCACATGGAGCAGGCTCATAATGGTGAGAAGAAGAATTCATGCAGCATTTGCTCTGAGAACTTTCATACTGTGGAGGAGCTGTACAGCCACATGGACAGTCACCAGCAGCCAGAGTCGTGCAACCACAGCAACAGCCCATCTTTGGTAACTGTGGGGTACACATCGGTCTCTAGCACTACCCCAGATTCAAATCTCTCTGTGGATAGCTCAACAATGGTGGAAACAGCTCCTCCTATACCAAAAGGTCGTGGAAGGAAGAGGGCAGCTCAGCAAGTGCCAGATATCACTGGTCCTTCAAGTAAACAGGCAAAAGTTACTTATAGCTGCATTTATTGCAACAAACAGTTGTTCTCCAGCCTTGCAGTTTTGCAGATACACCTGAAAACTATGCATTTAGATAAACCCGAACAAGCCCATATCTGTCAGTATTGTTTGGAGGTATTGCCATCTCTCTACAATCTGAATGAACATCTTAAGCAAGTCCATGAAGCTCCAGACCCAGCACTGATTGTTTCTACCATGCCTGCCATGGTCTACCAGTGCAACTTCTGCTCTGAAGTGTTCAATGACCTCAACACCCTTCAGGAGCACATCCGATGTTCTCATGGATTTGCCAACCCTGCTGCTAAGGACAGTAATGCATTCTTTTGTCCCCATTGCTACATGGGATTTCTTACAGATTCTTCCCTGGAAGAGCATATTAGACAAGTCCATTGTGATCTTAGCAGTTCCCGTTTTGGTTCTCCTGTGCTCGGAACTCCAAAAGACCCAGTAGTGGAAGTGTATTCTTGTTCTTACTGTACCAATTCTCCAATATTTAATAGTGTTCTTAAACTGAACAAGCATATCAAGGAGAACCATAAGAACATTCCTTTGGCACTGAATTACATCCACAATGGGAAAAAGTCCAGAGCCATGAGTCCATTATCTCCTGTAACCATTGAGCAGACCTCTTTAAAGATGATGCAGGCAGTTGGAGGTGCTCCTCCTCGTCCTGCCGGGGAATATATTTGTAATCAGTGTGGTGCTAAGTATACTTCCTTGGATGGTTTTCAGACTCATTTGAAAACACATCTTGACACTGTCCTGCCAAAACTGACCTGCCCTCAGTGCAACAAGGAATTTCCAAATCAGGAGTCACTGCTGAAGCATGTTACCATTCATTTCATGATCACCTCAACCTACTACATCTGTGAAAGCTGTGACAAGCAGTTCACTTCTGTGGATGACTTGCAGAAACACCTACTAGACATGCATACATTTGTGTTCTTCCGCTGCACCTTGTGCCAAGAGGTTTTTGACTCCAAAGTCTCCATTCAGCTGCACTTGGCTGTGAAGCACAGCAATGAGAAGAAGGTCTACAGATGTACGTCTTGCAACTGGGATTTCCGCAATGAGACTGACCTACAGCTTCATGTGAAACACAACCACCTGGAGAACCAAGGCAAAGTACACAAGTGCATCTTCTGTGGTGAATCCTTTGGTACGGAGGTGGAGCTGCAGTGTCACATCACTACGCACAGCAAGAAGTACAACTGCAAGTTCTGCAGCAAAGCTTTCCATGCTATCATCTTGCTGGAAAAGCACTTGAGGGAAAAACACTGTGTTTTTGAAACAAAAACTCCAAACTGTGGAACGAATGGGGCATCTGAGCAAGTTCAGAAAGAGGAAGTGGAACTCCAGACCCTGTTGACAAATAGCCAGGAGTCCCATAACAGCCACGATGGCAGTGAAGAAGATGTGGACACATCTGAGCCTATGTATGGCTGTGACATCTGTGGAGCAGCTTACACCATGGAGACTCTCTTGCAGAATCACCAGCTGCGAGACCACAACATTCGACCTGGAGAAAGTGCCATAGTGAAGAAAAAGGCTGAGCTCATTAAAGGGAATTACAAGTGTAATGTGTGTTCTCGAACATTCTTCTCTGAAAATGGGCTTCGAGAGCACATGCAGACACACTTGGGACCAGTGAAACACTATATGTGCCCAATCTGTGGCGAGCGGTTTCCGTCTCTTCTGACTCTTACTGAACATAAGGTCACACATAGTAAAAGCCTGGACACTGGAAACTGCAGGATTTGCAAGATGCCGCTCCAGAGTGAGGAGGAATTTCTAGAGCATTGCCAAATGCACCCTGACCTGAGGAACTCCTTGACGGGGTTCCGCTGTGTGGTGTGCATGCAGACAGTGACCTCCACGCTGGAACTGAAAATCCATGGCACGTTCCATATGCAGAAAACTGGAAATGGTTCTGCCGTGCAGTCCACGGGACGTGCACAGCATCTCCAGAAACTGTACAAGTGTGCGTCTTGCCTGAAGGAATTCCGTTCGAAACAGGATTTAGTGAAACTTGACATCAACGGTCTGCCATATGGTCTGTGTGCTAGCTGTGTTAATCTCAGTAAAAGTGGTAGTCCAAGTGTCAACATCCCTTCAAGCAGTAACAGACAAGGCATGGGCCAAAATGAGAACTTGAGTTCCATTGAGAACAAAAGCAAGGCAGGGGGACTGAAGACTCGCTGTTCTAGTTGCAATGTAAAGTTTGAATCAGAAACTGAACTCCAAAATCATATTCAGTCAATCCACAGAGAGCTTGTTCCAGACAGCAACAGTACACAGCTGAAAACACCACAAGTATCTCCAATGCCTAGAATCAGCCCCTCCCAAACTGAAGAGGTAACCCTTTTTTCTTTGCTCTTGACATCTTCCATCCTTTTGGAAAAATTCCCCTTTTTTCAAGTTGTCTTGTCACTTATCATGAAATGCTTAGGCTGATCCATGTTACATTTCCATCCACAGCCATTAGCTAGTAATTACTTGCTTCTTGATATGCCTTACATCTTGGATTGAATTTTGTGGAATAGGACTTATTCCAGTCTCCCTAGGATATTGTCTTCTGTATCACTGAGGAGACCTATCTTCATGCCAGCACAACTGAGATCTGGAATCTTATCCTAGCTCCCATACGCATTGGAATCCCCAGCTAGGAGTTGTGCTTACGGCAGAGAGCATTAATGACAGAGGAGTAGACACAGTGAGCCAAAATGCTGGCATAAGGGGTTGATTTTTTTAAAAAATATTTGTGAGCAACGAATTGAGGGTATTTTTGTTAATTGTGTTGTAGACTTTCTTTTTCCCCTCTTATAGCATATTTTGATTAAGTAGAAGTGCATTTCTAGCCTAAGGTAAATCGGGAAATCAGTTCTTTGGATGCAACTGCTTGTTGTTTTTCTTTCCATTCCTGATGAAGAACATTTTGATGCCACTGAAACACCTAGTGCCTGTTGACTGAAATTCCATCATGCAGCATAACTTAGAAAGCACAAATCAAACTTTTGAAAGGTGTAGTCTGTTTCTTCAGTCACCAGTGACCAAGTAATGATACCTGTATGTGGGGAGGTAGGGGGCTCATGTACTGAGGGAAGGAAATCTGTTTTATTTTCAGAAATGTTACCATTAGGACTTAGAGGTAATATTTTAGGCATGGTATCTTGCATCTAGTAATTCAGGAAGCCTAAAAACACAGCACAAGCAAATTTTAAGAAGTAACAGCTTTTGTTTCAAGAAAATGTTTAGCCTATAATGGTACGAGCATGCTGCAAAACATTGCTGTGAATGTGTATGGATACCCTGTGGCTAGGGAGCTGCTGCTCTTCCATCACCTTCCTCACTCCCTGTTTGTGAGCCCATCTGTTGGGAAAGATATCTCTCACCATGTCTCAAGCAAACTGGAAGGCGGGAGGGAGGCAGAGAGGGAAGACTGAGGGTACATCAGCATATATGGACCAAGGGGTAAGAATTTGTGGTGCTTTGGAGAACATAGATAGGCTGGGAGAAGGACACTGAGGTAGCACAGAGCCTGGAGTGCCATGAAGAGCTGAGAGTTCAGGATGAAGTACTAGGGAGGATGCACCTCCCAGGGAAAGGCCCTGTGCTTTCATAACTTCTTCATCTCTGGTTTGTGCATTGGGTGGTGGTAGGGGATACCTGAGGAATGGGATGTGGTGTGGAATTTATGGAAGGCTGTTAGACTGAGAATCTGAGGTCTAAGGAAAACCGTCTTTTTTAAGAAGAGAGGAGTGGCTCTCATTAGCTGTGTTTTAGGCCACTGATGATCCCACTGCTGCTGAGTTGGAACCATAGGATTACCAGCTGCATGTGTTTGATAGGTTCAGAGTCATCCTGGTTTCTGTTTCTGTCATCTTGCACTGAGTGACTGCATGAAATCCCTCTTCCCAGTCATGTTGGAAGCCAATTCCTGCTACCTTAAACACAATCAGAATCGTGTTAAGTCAGTTACCATGCTAAGATGTTACCAGCTTGTCTTTCTCTTGCTTGTAAACTCGACAAAAAGATTTGGGAATCCTTTGTGGTGATGTAAGATGAGTTACCTTCAGTGTGATTAGTGAATCTTCCTGTACTCAGATCAGGTATAATCAGAGCTCTTAGTTATACTTCTAATTGGCATATTCCTCTTCTTAATCTTTTTTATTTTTATATAAAAGTGTATCTAAGATGAAAAAGCTTTTTAAACTACACATTTGTGAATAGTATTTGTCTCCTTCAAATCACCATTTGCTCCCCACTTCCATTCTGAGGATGTAAACTGAATTTTCAGTGTCTATGGTTCTGGTGTCCACATAGTAATGTGGACTTTCAGATTCTTTTCTCATGGGAAGACAAAGCTATCAAATTCCTGATAGAGCATTAGTAGTTCTGGAAACAATAAATGCACATTTGTAAAATCCTGAAAGATCATTAATTTTTCTAGTAGATATTACTGGTTTAAATTCTAGTGATTCAAGAAAGTGGTAATGTACAGATGATTAAAACTGTAGATTGGATAGAGGGAAATAAAAACATAAGCATATAACACAAACAGTGAAAAAAAAAGGATTTTAAAAATGTATGATTAGTCACTGACTTTCATACTCCATTGGAAGGATGTTTCTTGAACTGATTGGGATGTTGAAGATAGCTACTTAAACATGCAATTTTGGGGAAATTTTCAACAAGCAGTATTAATAATATCAAGGAGTGAAAATTTCATTTGCATTATTGAGAGCCACGTGATTTGAGATTTTAACCTACATATAAAGAATATTTCATTCCTAAGTCAAGAAAAATAGGTATCTTGCATATATGAGTTGTCAGACTATTAATATTGCTGAATACCCCTTTTTACTCAGTAATAGATTTCAGTGATAAGAATATTTGAAAATACCTTTTTAAGATAAAGATCACACTGGAAGTGACACTTCTAGTTTCTTTGCCAAGTATTCTCATGGTTAAACTAGAAAATTTCCCTTTTTAGTCTGCTCTCAACGATGTGATAAGGTGCAATTACCTTACCACAGTATAATGTGTTCAGCTGACACCTGCTGAGCTCACCCCATTTGCTGAGTGAAAAATGTTGACCTGAATCATCTTCACTGAAAGTTACCTTCTGGTTGGGATGGAAAATTATGAGTAGTGCTCATCATTGGTTACAACAAGTCAAGGAGCAGGTCAGAACTCATTAAGCCCATCACACTGCTGAATCTAGTACCCCTAAGTTATCACACAGACTTTAACAGGCAGATTGTAGATAGCTAGCTTTTGAAAGAGCTCTAAAATGTGTAGATATGCAACTTAATCTTTGAGCTTTACTACGGTGCTGGATTCAGCTGGTTGTAGATTTCTTGTAAAGATCTTGAATCAGACCGCAAGCACACTTTTAGGCTAGGGTGATAACCTAAGTGATAGTTACTGTCTAAAAGCAGAGAACAAGGTCTGATTGGCCAAATCTGCTTGAACATCTCTGCTTCATTTTCCTTATTTAGAATATAAGATAGATATATCCTCAAAAGTGCTTTTCCATGCTTACTTACAATACAGTTTCTGTAAAGCAGTTGGAAGATGAAAATCTGTTCAAAAAAAACTATGTGGCCTTGACTCTCTTGTTCCTCCTTAATATGCTGTCAGACACCTAATGAGAGAGCTCTTGACTCAGCAGAAATCTGCACTTCTTAAGCTTCAAGACTTCTGTATTGCTGAATCACACCAGCATAACAGTGCAATAAATTATATTGTCCATTTCTTAGACGACAGGGGAGGAGGGAATGGACTGCAGCTTATACCAACAGTTTAATGGTAAAACCTGAATTTTGCTAGAGTATCCACATGTGCAACTGCGCTGTTTGGGGTCCTGTTGGTAAATTTCAGAGTAGAAGTGTAATTGCTTCTGTATCACTTTGTTCCATGAATATGAAGCTCATGTGAATACTGTATTACCTGTGGCAATGCAGACAGTAGTTCATTAATAATACAAGAATGCTCTGGGTTTTCTGGTCTCAAGGAGAGAAGGAGCAGCGTGAGTACACGACCAAATTATTTCAGGAGTGAAGATGCTTATTTAGGGGTGGCAAAAGACTTTCAGAAACTCACTATTTCAGAGAGTATCAAAAATGCTGGACAAAGGAGAGAGCTAGCAACTGTCACACCAGCTGGAGAGCAGAATAAGTGAATCTGGGGCTGCTCTTCTGTCCTGTTGTGGTTGTGCAGAGCTGTATGCCAGGATGGGCATGTCACAGCAGGGGACACCGGGCACATCACAGCACAGTTCTGGAAGGAGCCGTGAAAGTGCAGGCTGACAATGAGCTTGTAGAGATGGGGTCACAAAATTCAAATGCTGTGGAGAGCTGTTGGCTCCTTGAAACTCAACTTCTCCAACCTCAGATGAATCCAGAAAATATATCACCCTGGAAGAAAGAATGGAGCTCAGGTAGGTGTACTCTTTTATCATTACATTTTTTTCCTCTTTATTTATTCATGGGCCCTGAATCTACTTTTATTCTCTTACTACTCTTCCCCCCATTTCTCAAAACACTGCCAGACCCACAAAGACAGAAAACAGGAACTGCCTTTTGAAGTAGCTGGTTTATTTCAACAGCATGCACTGGCAGTCAGAGACGGAAAGAAGAGAGAAAAGACTGTAAGCAACCCAGAAATGTTCCCAGATGCATGCTTTTGGCAGGGCAAGCAATAGCATTTTAGCAATATAAATCACAGTGCTTTTAACTGAAAAAATGCACTGAAATCAATACTCATGCATTTAATTGAAATACATAAAGAAATTAAAATAATCCTCCTCATCAGCAATCCAAGCTGATCATTCTGACTACAGGATTTTTATGAATAAGCACATAAACTTGTAATGTAAACATAAGTAGTGCCTTGGGTTTCCTGTCAGTGAATCCAGGCCCAGAACAAGTGATTTTCATGCCGTATTTTGGATCCAGGGACAGAAAAAGGTAAAGAAGGTTTGTTGCTGGCACAAAGATTTGGCTTTGAAATAGTTTGTGGAACTAATCTGTGACAAACATATTTTCTGCTTCTGCAGTTTCAAAAGGAGTTCACTAAAAATACCATTTTTTTCTCTGGTGTCATTTTAAGATTGCTTTCAGGAAAGCATTATTTAAAGTGTGACCATATCTATTCTTAGGAAGGGGTAGCCTGGGGTTTTTTTTGCCACCTCCACTTTGCACTATGCTTTAATTTCTGGTAGTGCCACTACCATGAATTGGCTGATAAGGTCCAGCTTAAGAATTTCTCTTCTCTTTGTCTTAATACTTTTGGTGGTGAGCTATCAGAGTCATCTTTGAATTTTACAAGAATAGTATAATTGTTTATCCTGTTGCTATAAATCCTACCAAAGTTAAGCTTCAAACTTCCTACCTCACACACATCATGAGTTCAGTCTGTGAAAGGAAAGCCATATGTTGGCTGGGATCTGCTGAACAGAAGCAGGGGGAAATTGTAGTGAGTTTTCTTAGTTTCTTGTCCACTGATCATTAAAATCTAATGCTGTTTGTCTCTCTTGTTATTTGTCAGAGGCTTCAGATGGGGAATTTGAAGAGGCATCTTCTTCACATTTGTGGAAAACTTCGCATGAGAGGATGAAAGGATAACATATTCTTCAAAATTTTCAAGAGCACTAAACCAAGATTTCCGTGGTGGGGTGGGGGGATGGAATGCGTGCTTGAAGAAACACAGAACTGGAGAGGGACACAGGAATGTGGATGAAGTCCTTTAGGCTCTCTAGAGAGGGCAAATGTAGATTCAGCAAAGCTTTATGAGACAAAAGATCCATGAGGTGTATACTCCTACAGCCCAGCTGTGCACCCCACTATCCTCTTGAGGCTTTCCCTGTACTTGTACCTGCTGGCCAACTGATTGGTGTAGCATGCCACAATTTCTGCACAGCCCCAGGGGAAAATCACAGTAGTGATGAGTGTTTGTATTCTGATCTCAGAGTTGGGTAGAAACAAGAAGAAATTTCACACAATTTTCTAGCCTGATCATCTTTAAGAACAAGACACAGAAAATCGTGACATATCTATTTGTCTGCTGGTTTGCATACATCTAGAGGATTCTCTCACTTCTACATCTTATTTTTTAACTACTCTTGGCCAGTTTCAGGGAAAAATTCATAGATTGATAGTAATCTCAAAGCCTATGAAGTTGTTACAATGTTTGGGAAGAGAGGTGACCCAGCAGATGATAGATTCCAAATAGGAAAGCAGCCTTTAAGAGATCCAGACCAGGAAGATGGCTGTAGCTGAAGTTTATACCTGTTTTTTTATGTGAAAGTCAAGCGAACACAAGGCATGAAGTTATTGGAGGAAAGTATGATCTGTTCTTTGTGATACTCACAGGCCAGATTCTTAAGTGACTGTACATGAGAACTGTTTTCACCATTACTCAATAAAGTTGTTGTATATGGTGTGTGTATTACTTTGTCTTGTACAACAAACATAATACCCAGATTTGTTACTCTGTCATGAGGGAAATAAAATGGGCTAACCATTAATTTAAAATGGGTATGTAAGCCCCAGTACTGCTTGTTTCACGAAGTTGTACAAAATGAACGTAAGAAAACCACCTGACATGTAGTATCTTGTTAAAGGATACTGTTCTTTGATGTGCCAGAGCTCTGTGATAGCAGATAGTTGATCTTATGCCTGGTGGTTCAAAACTGTAAGGTACCTTTTTTCCTCCCAAAGCTATCTTTCATTTATACTGTTTCTTGCATTTTATTACAAATTATTGGATAAATATGACCTGTACTATTTTATACAGCATATTTTGCTAGGTATGACAGCAGAGATGTCTCTTGCTAACATCCACCCTCACCGTGTGACATTCTAGGACAAGAAGCAGAGGGGACAAATGGACATACAGGACGTTCCCTCTGAACATCAGGAAACACTGCAAGGGCAACCAAGCCCTGGCAGAGGTTACCCAGACAGGCTGTGTATCCCTTTGAGATACTCACAAGTCCTCTGGATGTGGTCTGGCTCTGGGTGACCCTTCTTGAACAGGAGGACCGTACCAGAGGATCCCCAGAGATCAACCTCACCCATTTTGTATTCCTGTGTTTTCTACCCATCCTTTGGGCCCATCTACCAGATGTATGTTTATGTTTCCCTGTTTTTCCTTGGTGGCTAAACCTTTGCCACTGGTTTATGGCTCCATAAGTCAGTGAATAAAAGGGCAGGGCCCTCCCTGATACTGAGCATCTCAGTACAGTCTTACCAATAATAATGTGCACTTCTAGGAGTCATTTATAAGGTCTGTGAAATGCCTTTGAAGAGGGTCTTAGAAATACCACTACTTAGAAATGCAACCATTGCAAAGTTACTTGCTGCTTGTGTACTCAAAAATAAGGTGAGTGGTAGGAGAGAAGGGAGCTATTTATCCCCTTTGATCATATGTCCACAGTTTTGGTGTCCTGTGTTGGGATACATTTCCTCTGTTTTTTTGCTTATTTTTCAGATGTTTCACAGTATTCTGTCTAAAAAGGTACATCTAATGGCTTTTCATATCTTTCTCTACATTTTCTAGTAGGAAACAGGGTGCTTTACCCACAAAGAATGATCTGAGACTTCAAGCTTCCAGATTTCCTTCTGTGTTTGCTTTACCACTGCTATAACAGTCGTCTTGGTTTCTGCTCTGATGGCTGGAATAGGTTTAGGGCCAACCCATAGGAATATGATTGTCTGTTTCCAAACCCTTGCAACCATCACAGACCAGTGGCCAACTTGCAATTGATCCTGTTCTGCTGCTTGGTGCTTCTCTCACAGGCCTAGGCAGGGAATGTCTGCATCACCTGGTGATTTTCCCAAACTATTAGTCTTAACCATAGTTCCTCATTTCTTGAATGCTCACTGCTTCACAGCTGGTTTGTACGATGGTGGTTGAGTGGTCGAAGTCCTTCAAACCTAGACGTATGGCATTTTGCTTCTGAAACAAACTCTGCAATCTTTTTTATTTTCAGATAGAGAAATAGTAGACTGAAGCCCCATGTAAAAAGACATTAACTTATTACAGGGTGTACCTAAGAGGAATTGCTGGTATTTTAAGAATTAATATGAAAGTAAAAGATTATGAAATAGAACAGAGGCAATTCTGTGAAGTTCTCTTAATTCCCTTAGAGGAGAGACAGTATGTCTTAACACAAAAAAAAAGAGACACAAATCATTGTGGATAGTGTTGAAGAGTGGCTGAGCAGAGTGCTTGTTTTGCTGGTACACCACTTCCTTGGGCAGCTGTGCTTTCCCAGAGGAGGTTTTTCAGCTGGGCACACAGTCAAGCGTCATTGCAGTGTCAGCAGCTGTGTGCCAGCTCAGATGCAACCAGTATATTTGTTAACATTGATGTGGCCTAAGTGTATCCATAAAGGGTAGCACTAAAATCACAGCAATATGATTGTAGGATTCTGTTCACGGCATATTTTGTAGTGCCTTTTTAAAACCCCAGTCTTGCCCATGCTATGGTGTGAAGCCTTCGTTTGTGAAGTCCCATTGACTTTCCCAAGTGCAGAGCTAATTGCAAGAGAAGGATCTAAGGGGTTTACTCCTTCTCTTGATACTTCAATGAAAATTAATTTCTTATATATTATGTATGAGTAATATATTTCTGTTTGTACATTAATATTAATGTTGCATATTTCTGAGCACTAGTTCTATTCTGTAGGATTAAATTATCTTGGTAAGTAATAGTGCAGAATTCAGTTTGAGTTAAAAGTGCACAATTAAGGGCAGGAGGAGGGTCCTGAGTCACACTTTGGAAAGTGAAATTAATCAGCATTAATTCTCCACAGAGTGGGAGAAAAGCGGTTATAGTGTATAAATTACAAAAAAAAAAAAAAGAAAAAAGTAGGTATATAAAAAGCTCCTGATTTTGCCGTTTTGTTAAAATCCAGAGAGCTTTAACAAAATCTGTGATGGAGAAAAGAGACAAGAGTATTCTCTTGTGCGTACTTGCAAACTATTAATTTTATTGGGCTACATCTGTTGCTGATTGTTGGTAAAGAAAGTAGTGGCTTTATTGAATGACGATCTGTCTCAGTTTGCCTTTTTTTAAAAATCAAAGCAAAAAAACCAACTTTAAAATGGAACAAAAATCAGCTTACTCAGAATGTCAGCTTTTTGAGTCTCAGACCTGCTAAGTCAAGCTCTATTGCATGTGCTTTGATGCCACTTCATCTGCAGAATTATCATTGTGATGTTGGTCATAGTTGCTCCTGAATGTCTGTAGCCACACAGTGGCTCTGACACAGATGCTGTTGGAATACCTCTGGATGGGCTAACAGCTCTAGGGTTTCAGATGGTCTCAGGCTGGCCATTCCCTTTGGTTTTAAGGGCAATGTAAGGGGACAGAAAGGGGTGGAGATGCTGACAGGAAGTTCAGTTGCTGACACAGTCAGCCCCAAAGTCCTGAACGCTGCTCAGCACATACATGTGCACTGCTCAGAGACTCAGCTTCACCCAGAATCAGGCCCTCAGACAGAAAGACAGAAAGAGGTGTCTTTGTTTTTTAGATCCCAAATCAAATTCACCGTACTTTAAACTGTTTGTATTCATAAACTATGAAAGCCTAATATGAAGTAATTGAGAGAGAAAATAAATCTACAGCCATGTGATGCCAGGTTTTAGAGTCAATTTTCTGACAGGTATTTCACTTCAGTACTGAGTTTGAAAGGCCTAGAGAGAGTTTAAGAATTAGAGATCTCAAAGGGAAGACATGCAGTTTTTAAATGTGGCAAGATGCGGTTTTTTCTGTGTGGGGATGTGAGACATGGCAAGCTAATGCTCTTCGTCAGCTAGGGGAGGGAAAGGTTTGTAACTAAGAGACATTGAAGACAGACATGATTAAATACAGAATCCAGAATAAAGGTGAAAGACAGAACAGCAGACCATGAATTCAAACAGAATAGAAAAGTAAGGACTGATAACATGAACCTTAGTATTTCTGACTCAATATATTTTGTGTATGCAATAAGTAACCATAATGAAAGAAATGAGAAAAAAAAATGTTTCTTTCCATTTTTCATTTCGCTTACCTTGTGGAGTTGATTGTATTCTTTCCACAGGCATATACACTCAGACCCTCTTATAATTTAAGACCCTGCTAAATGAAAACAGAACAGAAAAATACGCATAAAATCTCCATGAAAATGTTTTTAAAAGTAAACAGGAAATACTAATTAAAGAGTTTTGTGTGAGCAATTACAAGTGTTGGCAATTAGTCAATTAAAAAGAAAAAAGCAAGATGACAGTGCCCCATAAGCAAGATAAATAACTAACTATGCAGTGAAGCTGGCTAACATATGCTTAGTTTTCTAAGAGCTTAAGGTTGACAAAATAAGCATCCAGGAAGGTAAGAAAGAAATCCTCAATTAAGGTACTGTCAAAGCTAATCTAAATTCTGATGAAAAATGGCTAAATGGACAAAGCTAGGACCATGGTTGCTCTTGTGTATCATGAAGGGCCAAGCACACTGCTAATGCTTAATAAAATAATGATGTAAAATATATCAGCGGGCAGCATTAGGAGTTAGCACTGGCAAATTGCTGTAGTTAGTGTGCAAGTTGTAAATGTCTTAACTTGCTATTTTCATATTTTTTTTTTGATGCTGTTCACTTTCTCTTGTCAGGTTACTATTCCATCAGTTTAAAAGGTTGAATTAACTCCACCCTTCATGTGAGGGAAAGGGAGTGAATGACTGATATGGGAGAAGGGAATTAGAGGATGTGAGAGGTGTGGTATCACTCTTTTGGCAACAGCAGGTTGTCTCAGCTCAGTTATTGATCCATACACTCAGTCTGTGCTAAAACTGAAGGGAAAAAGCCTTGAAAGTCCCCTTCAGTAGTGTGTCAAGGGCAAATAATGTAATTAGGTGTAAACAGGAGGTTATTGGTGGGGTAACAGGTACATATCAAAATCATTTTTGATGGGGCACAGATGAAAAGTGTGAAAGGAGTATAGAACAAACTAGGGATGCCTGCAAGCCTAAGACAGTAGATGCCATGCATTAGAAGCTATAAATGATATTTTGTTTATTTCATATAGGGAATAAGTATTCAGTTAAAAGGGGCATGGGTACAGGAGATCCAGAAATGGTATAGGTAATCAAGGAAACCAGTACTGTTAAACAAATGCTTTGTCGTTGAGCTAGTGGCATATACTCCCCATGGAGAAGAATGAAGTACAGATTAAAGGTAATATAATGGAGTATAATATACAATAAATGACTTACAAAAATATCCATTCCAAAATTCTCAGTGAAAGGAGCGGAAGATAAAAGGAAACGTTAAGCAGATAAGCTTGTGGTCTTTAAGAAGAAGTATCAACAACATGGGAAAAGGCCACTAAACAAACATTTAACAGGGAATATAAGGGTTATGCATGAAGTTACTGGTTAGTGAGCTTGATTTAAA